TCCTACTATATTAACAGGCTCCTGAGGCTTCTTGGCCTGCTTGTTATCCTGTTTATTATCCTGGCACACTGTGAGCGATTTAGTCATGGGATGCCCTGTGACATACATGTACATAACCGTCTTTGCTTCATGTTCACCCCAATGTTTATAAATGATTTTAAATAATTGTGGTGGCTTAGAGATTGCCTATATAATCAGGCTCCAAATCCAATTCCATCTTTATGAAACTCTGGTTGATGCAAAGGCGTAGTAGCTTCAACTGTTTTCCACTCTGGCCAACAAAAGCTTGACGAAGATCAACATAGCCTGGATTGATAGGTGACTCGTATTCCATATAAATCACGTCATGTATCCTCCAATCACTTCTACTTTATACAGCTAACTATATCTGTAGCCAAAACTTATTATACTCACCAATCGTTCCTTTCCTCCGACAAGGCACATAATCCAAATACCGCCCCTCCAACTCCATCAAAATATCCACTCTATTATTCCAAACAATTTCTTGAACTCTCTCCTCCTCCGTCGAGCCCCAAGGAATCAGGCCCCCCCTCCAGCAGATACCCATGTATCCTCCCAAATAAATCCGAGCGTTCCACGAATGCCAAGATGCTTCTTGACGCCAATACTCTGATAACCTCCGCCAACGATCCGATGACATTTCTCCGCGCCAGCAATGATCACCGTATCCTTTGAGTCTCATTTCTGCGTTGAGTGAGTTTAGCCAGATTCTTCTTTGGTCGAATATGTAATTTGATTCACTCTGTTCGGCCCAGAACCGATTGATCATTTCGCTTAGGGCATGGGCGGTTTCTTCGTCTTGTTTGTTGGCCCATACTTTAAAGCAGCTCGGTTTTACGGATGTGTCTGGACTTCCGTGTTGACTGTTGAAGGTTTGTCGCAGATGGCGGTACCAGTCTTCGGAGAGGGTGACTTTGGAGTAGCCTGGGACAAGGCGGACTGGGCTCGTGGCTAGGATTTCGAAGGGGCTGATGGGGAGCATGCAGGTTAGGACTTTGGCTGGGAAATCGACGAGCATGATGGTCAGTGATGATGAAGTTTCTGTCAGGAAGCTTAAGAGGGGAGGGGTTTTAAGTTTGTTGATGAAATCGACCATTACAGTAGAAAACTAGGTATTTGAATACTAGTAAGTTTAGGCAGCAGGACACTAACTATGCTTGGTTCTGACTTTTGTCTACTTGGCCTCAACTGGTGTGATCCCTGCAGGGACGGGACCCATCCGTTGATCACAACCATCACGGGGCAAAACGAGGAAAACTCCCTTCAAGAAAGGTTAGAGCCGGAATTAACAACTATAGCATGATTGGGTTTTTCGTTTTCGTGGAAAAAAGTACAGAGAAGAGCAAAAAAAAAAATTAAAAAAAATTAACAGTCGGGGGATGAAATTGGTGGTGGAGAAAACAAGAAAAAAGTCTGGACGAGCCCGGAATCGAACCGGGGACCTTCCGCAATGCGATTAACAAGTTTGTTATATGCTAAGCGGGCGCTCTACCAACTGAGCCACACGCCCTGTTTATATGTCACATCTGGTGGAATTCACCTGATGATAAGTTGTATAAGAAGCCAAAACTTTCATGTATTTTCTTTAAATCTCTTGGAATAAACTCTCTCTCGAGTTTTCCTACAGACCCTAAATTACCACAAATCTACAAGGCTTCTATTATATACTATTTCTTTTTAAAGGCCAGTTTCTTACCTATATCCTTTGCCCACTCCCTTTTCTCCCGATAATATTTTATATCCCGATTAATTTTAACCTCTTCCAAATTAATATATAACTTTTTTCTTACCAATAATACCTTACTTTAATAATACAATCTTAAAAAATCCCAGTCTTAACCTTTTATGTTATCTATTATAGCCTATTGTGACGGCAATTGCGAGCGTGGCTCCTTCCCGTAGAAACTATATATATACTGCAATTGAATGTTACAACCTGCACCGAGTTCGCGTACAGACTGCAAGGCAGTACGCCAAAGGGTAGCTTGACAGGATAATCGAAGGTTGTAGCAAGCGTCTCAGACAAGGGGTTCACTGTCAACAACAGGTTGTTCTAACAAAGAGCTACTTGAAAGTAGATTGTAGACTAATGAGCTGTATTGCTTGCGTGAGGAATCAGATTCCTCGGGACGTGAAGTGCCCGGCACTCCCCCTACTTATAGGAAGCTATCTGCTATCATTTCTAAATATCCTTGTAACCTGCTTGACGTGCTCATTCTCTTGGCACCAGGCAACGTCTGTCCTCGATGTCCTGGCACTAGGCAACATCTCTCCTGAGTGCCATTGGTTGTCTCAGGGGCCCTGCGGTCCCTGTGCGGGGTTATTATGCCTGGGGCGTAACAAAATAGTCTTTAAAAGGTTATTGATTCTGATTAACTAATAAATTAAACGGGAAATAAATCTAAAATAGGTATTTATAGCTATTTACGTAAATATTCTTTTATTATAGAGATTTAGTAGCCGGGCAATTAAGACTACCTACTAACCGAAAAGAAACTATGGAACAAAAGGGCTTTAAAAATACTTTTTTATTAAGTGGATTTGAGCAGATATAAACAAGTCTCTCGACAGTTTCATCCATATCGTACATCATATACATGTACATTACAATTTCATATCATCAAACAGGGATACTCTGCGGATTCCTAAACAAATTCTTAGGATCCAACTCCTTCTTCAACTCCTTCAACCTCGAAAACAACGGTTCCCCATAATACAACTCAAACGCCTCTTCCCTCGTATACTCTGGATCAATGTAGTTCAAGTATGCAGCGTACTCTCCCATCATATTATTCGTCATTGCGTCGTTCAATCCGTCCAGAAACTGAATTCCTGCCTCTGGAAAGGTTTCGTTCAGACTCACACTCCCGTAGTTTTGGACTACCCAGAGATCATCAAACCCTGCGTAAGCTGAGATTTCCTCGGAGTCACCGCCAATCTTGCCAATTTGACTGTCTGGTCCCCCGTAGAGATTGATAATGCTGAACCATCCAACTGGTGCTTGTTGGCCTTTACCTTTTGTGTAGGCAAAAGTAAAGAATGCTTCCAAGGCAGAACGAGTGAAGGGTTGAGCAGTAGTGACGCTCTTGGCGTAAAAGTTGTCTCTTTCCTTGTATCCGTGAAGGGGAATTTCGAGGGTTGGAGCACCGCCAAGGAGGGTTAGAGAAGTAATCCAGTCGGTTTCCTCGATTGTGCTGTCGCTTCCTGGTGGGTAAGGAATTGCGTTTAGGAAAGCAGGGGAGATGGTGGAGTTGAAGTCTTGGATTGTGCCAAAGTAGGTTCCGTGGAGAGTGTAAGAGGTTGCGTTGTTGGAGATTGTGACGCCGTAGCCTATGTTGCGGTTTATGACGGAGGAGTTTAGGGAGACGGATTGAATGGCGAGGAAAATGTCTGTTGCTACGGATGGGGTGGAGAGGGCGTCGGGGAATGACCAGGAAAAGTTGATTACTGTTGGTGGTGCTGGGGAGGTTTGGAGGTGGAAGGTTGTGACGATCCCGAAGGAGTCTGCTGCTCCTCGGAGGGCCTACAAGGAAGGGTTAGTAAGACGTTGACTGATGAGGCACTTTGGACTTACATAGTAGATCTCTGGATAAGACTCATTGTTGGTGTGGATATAACTTCCATTGGCAATGACAACATCCAAGGCAACGATCTGATCAAGGGCGAGTCCAAAGGTTCGAGAAGAATATCCATAACCGCCGTGAGTGAAATGGCCACCAGTACCCACTGCTGGACAAGTTCCGTGGGCGAGAGCCCGATGGCCCTCGTCCCAAATTCCCAGAGCAAGGTTTCCTAGACGAACACCGCCGCCGACTTGGGCAATGCCTGTGGCGTTATCAACAGAGATGGTGTTTAGATTCTCAAGATCAATCATGAGAATCCCGTTTACACCACCCGTGCTATAAGATGCGTATGAGTGTCCACCAGACTTCGGTTGGACAGGAAATCCATTTTTGGCTGCACAAAGAACGGCCGAAGATACCTGCTCAGGGGCTGTGGGTAGGGCAATGGCTGCTGGGATGTATTCGAGACGAGCGTTGAATGTGGTAGCATACTCGCTCCAGTCTTGGTCGGTGAAGACTCTAAAAGTAACACCACCAGCTGTAAGGCATTTTGTGAGGTGTGAATGGGCAGGCTTTGTACGTCTGGACAAAGTAGACGCAGAGACTGGAGAGGTGCCAGATGCTGTAGCCCAAAAAAGAATGGGGAGCAAAAAGAAAGACTTTGTCAACATTTCGACGGATTGTTCAGTACCGTCATAAAAACACACTGAAATTGATGTATCTACTTCAGCCGTTCCTCAACTCCGCCGAAGGGGCCTTTGACATATAAGGACCCGGCGCCATCCTCAACCACACAATGAGTAGATCCTCCTTCATCCTCCAAATAGATCACATGAACAGATGACGTTCACTTTCACTCCATCATCGTAATTCGCCTATTCCTACCAATTGCTATACGAGCCATCATTTCCCGAGCTGCCGGGACAAAGAATAGGAAAATCCAGACCGAAACAAGACTTTTTTTATCATGAGGCTCAGTGAGGTACACATCTAGCTGAGGGCGCATGATTTAAAAGCGTATTTCTCGGGTTTTTCGGATATTTTTTATTTTATAATTGGTCCCTGTTTTACGCACACGCGCGTCGATAGGAATTCCAGATCCATGGTTCTGGCACAGTCAAGGTAACACAACCACCTTCTGGCCGACAATTGGCCGTTGATTAACATTGAGTAATCCAAAAAGCCTGGAACGCGGGATTTAAACCTCGATGCTTAGCCCCACTGAAAGCCTAGAATTGCCCATAAAAGGCAATGAGCTCAGCTAAAACACCGAGCCCGGTGAGTGTGTGGCCAGCTGGAGACAAAGCATGACTCCCCATTCGGTGGTCCGGAAATGGTCATTCACGGGAACTTCCAAGTCCATGTTGAACAAGGGAAATTTGAAATCCCATTTTAAACAAGGAAGGATCTAAGTATATACCAGAAATTGTATCAAAAAGACAAAATCATCAGTCATAACAGCAGCCGTAATGTGCATCCTACATCCTCCTCCTCCTGTAGACCCCCGTCTTCCCATAATACTCATCCACCCATACCTTCATATTCAAAACCACCTCATCCATCAACTTTTCCAACTCGGGATTCGCATCCCAATTTGCCCTACTCAAATCACTACAATGCGTCCCATTCTTGATCACCCTAACGGGCACCTGTTTTGTCCCTTGAAACTTTCCCCCATCCCTAAAAGAACTCGACAAAGTAGCATCCCTCCACGGGTCCCACTCGCCGTTCGTATGCATCACCCTCGTGATATTAGTCATACTCCAGCCTCCAGTAAGCTTATTTACATCACTTGCACTCTTATTTATTGCAACACCTGACTCCAACTCTGGGAAGTAAAGCTTGCATCGCTTCCTAAACTGATCAACATTGATGAGACGGGAAACCATGCTCTTCCCACCGTTTTCTGTCCGAGGTGGTGCACCATACCAATACTCAAACGGCTCGTTGCAAAGCATCCATTGCCATTGCCGGTGGTCTTGTTGAACGCCCAGATACTGATAGATGGGGTTGGTTGCGTTGGTCACTTGCCAGCATTCCAGGCCTCTGTTGCACTCTGTAAAACACACAAATGTCAACTCAAGTCCCTCAACGTAGAAAAAAAAAAACTAGAAAAAAAAAAAAAACTCACGATTGTCAGGGACATAAACATCCCTATAATACTTTGAATACCCTTCCAAAGCCCTATTCAACCCCACCCCATTCTTCCCCGGAATCATTCCACTCGTCGTAGAATTAGGCCAAATCCCTTCCACATAATCACAAAACTCATAATGAGGCACAGTCCCATCATACTGACCCGAGGTATAAAACTGCACATTCTGCCACCTGAACAAAACCCCAGCCAAGGCAAACGCAAAGTCCACATCCGATAACCCAAACAATCCAAAGTATTCTTTGAGTCCATCTTTCTCCTTTGAAGTACCCTTCATCAACACGGAATCAACATGGTCAATAACCGCATGGATATCCGCCGTACAATTCGCCGGAGTCGCTTCTTGAATCGGTACAAAGTATTGCCAAAAGTCCGTGACGGCCTGCACTACACCGCTTGAGCTATAATAAGCCCAAAACGTGCCTGGTTCTCGGACCGCTAGCCAATTTGCTATTGCGCCTGGATAAGAGCCGCCCATGTATATCCAGGGGGATTTGGATGGATGACTGCCGTTGGTTCTGTCAAAGGGAAGGAGGAGATTATTTGCCATATATGTGATGTCTTTGAGGGAGTTATCGAGGGTCAGATGAGTTAAGTTTTCTACCGTCAATAGTTGAAAAGGGGATGAGTTGCCCCAGTATCGATGTTCCATTAGTATGACTGCGGCGCCTGTTTCTTGAGCGAAACGACCTGGTAGGTAGTCTTTGGACATCCAGGTGACGTTGAAGCCTTCTGCGTTTTGTTCTCCGATGTTGATGAGGTAGATTGGGGATCCTGGACCATTCCAAAACT